CGGGGGGCAAGCAGGAAGCCTTCCAGTGCAGAGTGTGGAAAGCCTCTCTGTGAATATTTTTCCCCAAGAGAGGCCTTTGTGTTGGTCATAGCCTATCTGTGGTGAACATCTAATGATTTATTAAGCAAATGAGCTTATAAGAACACGATCTTACTTTGTTCCAGCTTATAATTATATTTGGTTTGATAAGACTTCTGTTTGCACAGCCTGAGTATACAGATTTCTTTAAAATTTTATAAACCTTTTTTTTTTCCTTCTCCCAATGGAAAATGCAATTTTTAATAGCATTTTAAGAATGAGCCATGCACAGAATGCACATGTACCTACATGCGTGACTGCACATTTGTTGTGCAGGCAAAGGATGTCAATGTGCTTTAGGGACTGTAGCAGTTATAATGGCTCTAAGAGATTTTTGGGTCCTTCACTGAAGCAAGTGTGGTGTATGTGCAGGGTAAGAGGCAATTCCTACCCGAGGGTCTTGTAGGGCAAGCAGACAGTACAAAGTCTGCTCAAAAGGAGTAAGCAGACCCAGACAGATTTCTTGCTTCTCGTCCCAGTGTGAATGTCACAGATGAGTCTTTCCTGAGAGCTGCAAGGCAGGAGAAGTGCAACTGCTATGACACTGTGCGGTCTGGGCCCTGGGTCAAAGCAGCAGCGAGCTTTGTTATGAGAACTGATACATTTTTGTGATATTCTTCTGTTGGATGCCTTTGCACCAGGGAAGCATTTTTCACTTTCTCGGTATTTCTCAGCTGCTGAAATATTCAAGCTGGTCACCCGAGACATGTGAGATCGGCAGCCTGGTGACCACTGTCCACCATAGGCCACATATTCAATTCCAAAAGGCTCCACCAGCAAACATCCAACTCCTTTGAACACCATGAGATTGCTGCATTATGTTCAGTGAAGATTTGCTTGTTGAGGATCATCTAAGTGAGACCTGGAGAGGCTAAATTTGGCTTGCTTTACTGGGATTTTGAAACTCTCCTCAGACATTTTGGTCCAGAGCCAATTTTTTCTCAGGGCATCATGCAAAGTAGTTGTGATCTTCTAGTCTGGAAAAAGCTGCAATAAAGTGCAAGTAAAAGCAGAGCCCTACAAAAATGCTTTGGAAGCTGGGGTATTCCTATGCCCTTGGCAATGCAGGTTCCCCTTCATCTCTTCCTTAGCCTCCTTCTAGCCTTCTCCATCCCTCTTCCTCTGCATACAGCTGCTTGTCCTCAGGGGCAAGAAGTAGGGCTCATATTTTGGCTGCTATTTGGTGTTCCTCTGAGAAGAGTACCTGTGGAGGCTTCCCCTTTCACCCCTCCTCACTTGAGGCTCAGCTTTATGTGTGTGTACCTTGCAGAGTTCATCAGTGAGAATGGGACGGGCTTCTTCCAACTTGAGGTGCTTCAGCCTCTCAAGGCATCTCCCATGCCCACTGCCAGCAACAGGGGCAAAGCTGCACCTTGCTTGGGCTGGCAGAAACCTTTTTCACTGCTCCACCTGTAATCTATGATACAAAAAAAACCCAGAAGGTTTCAGACACCCGACACAAAGGGTCGGGCTTTCACGACTAACACAGCTCTTCCAGGACCAGTTCCAGGAGCTCTGAAAAAAGTGGGAACAAAATTGCCATGTGAATGCCGATGGGTCCTGATTGGGCGCCTGAAGTCTGCAAAAGAAGGAAAACACGTAAAAGCCAAGACCCAGAGCACTGCAGATCTGCACGGATTTCGGTGGCTTCCTCTCTTCCGAGGCAAAAGTGCCTCCTTGTGGAGGGTCTCTGCATCTCGGCTACACGCACCGCAGGAGCCGTGTTTAGCACCAGCATTTGTGGCTGTAGTCCCAGTAACTCTCGGAAATGTCCTCGCTTCTC